ACTCGCGTGAAGCATCGGAGGGCCCACTTTTTTAGGGATAGGAGGGCCCACTTAGCGAGAGGTCGTGCGGAGGGGGTTCACTTCTAGGCGATCAAACCTGACTTGGACTCGGTTGTAGCGAAATAGACCATGATGCCCCTAGTAACATAGGAATATTCTAGGTACCCAAGGTTAGTAAGGGGTATTATGGTCTACCTGTTGTAAAAAAAAGGTATAAATAGTGCCCCCGACGAATAAAGAGAATGATTCTCTGATTATTTATCCTTGCAATGAGCACTTACCTTGCTCGCCTATTTACCCTATATCGAGGAGATGGGTTATTTATCCTTGTACCATGGCACTTGCCCTGCCCTTGTTGGTCTTTCCTTGCACGTACTTACTCCAAGTAATCCACTCCTAAGAAGAATGTGCAAGAGTTTGCATACACGCACAACTCCAAGCATATTTCTAAACTCCTGATATCGACTTTGAAAAATTTCAAACTTACAGTTTATAATATTAGTTCATCTTTCGGAGTTTGAACATCCTCTTCAAGACTAATGATTCTTTTCTCTTGCTTAATTTCTCTTTTAATACACCTATCTGATAATAAACCATGATTACTGAAGCATTCATCTGGGAGCCTTACGAGTGACGTACATATGAATATATGATCTTGTCTATTGTGTCTCCTCTACTCGTATGATTCTACCTGTTACAATTCATAAGTAACAAGATCATGAAAAGGCCTCAAATCTAAGAAAAATAAGAAAACTTTGGCATGGACACCTACCACTTTTTAGAAATTGTCAATAGTAGAGAGAATAAAAAAGACACAAAATACAATCATCTCCATAATTTTCTAGAGTACCAACTCCCAAGCACACATGTTGCACCGACTAATGATGAGATCTGAATATAAGAGGTGGTGGTATACAACTCGCACCTTCCACTGGGTCCTGCTCAGATTTGATTTTGGGGTGCCTCGCTCGACGAGAGATCCCAATATGTTTGTGCTGAGACAGAGATTAGAGAATAGACGAGCGAGCGATCCATCCCATCTGAGATCTGTCAGTCAAATCTTTACTCTCAGTGCACACAGCTGCCGGATGACCAGGATCGATGAGGATGGTCTTTGACTCTTTGTCACAAAGGGAAGCAGAGATGCAGAGGAACGACGGGAGTAGCTTTCAACATCCTCGGGCCTCGGCGGCTGCAGACGTTTCTTTTTAACAAAAGTTATGCTAAGTGTTAACCGAGTCGCATTACACTACATTCTTCTCGATTTAGTAACCAGCGCACTAGCAGCTAGCGTCCAGCTAAATTGGAGTATAGGACAGACCAACAAATAAACATTTCGCTGATGGCGTGAAAAGGCAGAGAAAATATCTACAAAGTTAAAAGCCCTATTTTAGTTTTGGATAATTAATGAAACCTATATACTAACCTTGCAATCTAAGTGATGTGTGAGATAGATTGGTACACCTAAGTTGTGGAGAATGATGGCACTCAAGTGATGGTGATGATCATATGAAATGAAGAGATGGCCACATGTGATGATGATCAAGTGCTCAAACTTGGAAAAGAAGAAAAGAGAAAAACAAAACTCTATGGAGATCAAGGCAAAGGTATAAGTAGAGATTTTATTTTGGTGATCAAGACACTATAAAGAGTGTGATCACATTTATGATAGATGGCCGTACTATTAAAAGGGGATCTCTACTAGACAATTCGGTATCTAGTGTCATTAGGTGTTGGACTTCATGCATTGCATTTAGGCCTAGTGCGCAATCGTAGAGCAAGCGAAAATATTTATTGAAAATGTTTTTTGAGAAATGCTAACTTGGCTCTAACATGTCTTGAGAAAACACTTTGAGAATTAGCATCGCTTGCGAAAAGTTGCTCGAGTTGCCGTGGTTCGAAACGTGACAAAGTTTACAACTTGGAGAGCAAGTGGTGGTGCCTAGGTGGCACCGCCACCTCCTGTCCAGTGCACCGCCACCCCTAGGGCAGTGCCCAGCTGGACTGGTTTGGAGCAGCGAGCAGTGGGGTGGTCACCGGACGTGACTGTGTTCACCGACCCAGGCACGACGGTGCACCGTCGGGGATTGTCCGGTGCCACCACCCTATTTATCTGGAGACCAGCGAAAACCTGAGTTGGGCCGAGGGGGCACCGCCCTGGTCACCACCTGTGGAGGGTATAACCCTCGTCGTCAGCTAAGCTAGGGATTCCTCGGCGTTTAGATTCTCCGTGCAAGCGTCGTCAGCTAAGCTGGGGACTCTTCGACGTTCAGATTCTTCGTGCAAGCGTCGTCAGCTAAGCTAGGGATCCCTCGTGAAAATGCATCTAGCCCTTTAGTGGGTTTTGGATGATTGAATGACAACGTAATTAAAGGTCTAATCCGTTTGCTAAGTGTGAATAGGTAATAGGTTATCTCACAGGTACTTAATGAAAAGCCAAAATGATGTGTTATTGTATAAACAATTTAGTTCAAGCACAAGACAACAATGCAAATGGAATTCATGCAAAGGCTCATTTATTGTGGGATCTCCACGTACTATGTGAAAGCCAACTAGTAAAAATTAATTAATGAGACATAAGGGATTTCATATGGAATGGTCTCATATTTGAAGCTTGCTAACTTGAAATAAAAAAGGTAACAATATAAATGAATAGATGATTCAACACAAGATGTGACTTGATGGCTTGAGATGGTGAAGATAGCAAGGAAAGGCTTCGAGGTACTAAGCAAGGGTGAAGGGCAAGCGACGGCTTGGCAGCCGAAGAACCTAGCTAGGGTGAAGAAGAAAGTACTTGCATTTAGTTGAGATACTAATCAAGCTAAGATGGTCATATTGATGTGGAGGATCAAATCTATAATGGAGTATTTGATGGAAGTGACTTGATACATTTGGGATTATTCAAATTTGATGAATGGAATCAAGTCATGTGCTCAAGATGGCTATGCTCAAGTGAAAAGATCAATATCAACATGTTGGCACCCTCACTTGATGAAGATTGAAATACACGGCTTCGGTTCAAAAAAAAGATCAACTCAAAAGGTTTAAATCCGTTATACTTTTAAATTTGAGTTAATAAGAATGCCGTACTATTAAGAGGGATGCATCATGTTGATAGATAATGTTTCATAAGTGCTCAAGCCAACCCATGTGAGATTTGAGTGTTTGAGAGACAAAAGAGCTAACTGATTTGTTGCTAGTCTGGCTATACCGGATGTGTCCGGTATTTGCCCAGTAACTATAAAATTGTTGTTCTCGGGTTGATTCGTCGGGAGTTCCGACGGTCGGAAGTTCCGGCAATGGTCGGGAGTTCCGACGACTCGCAATTTAAATAATTTGGAGAATTCATTGTGGTGGTCATACCGGACGTGTCCGGTATTATGGATGACCAGAGGCCAACGACAGTTTTTAAATGTACTGAGTGTCGGGAGTTCCGACATGTGTCGGGAGTTCTGACACCTCAAATACTCAAACTCGGTTGCAATGGTTTTCAAATATACTGAGGGTCAGGAGTTCCGACGTGTGTCGGGAGTTCCGACGGTCGGAAGTTCTGACATTCATCGGGAGTTCCGACGCCTCACAAATTCACTGTAACTTAGTTACCGTTGGTGCAGTGTAAGTCATACCAGACGTGTCCGGTATTGCAACGGCTATACAACGGCTAGTTTTTCCAAGGAGGCTATAAATACCCCCAAGCCTCCATCTTTGGAGGCTGCTGATTCTGCTGATACACACACACATTTTTGAGCCTTGCCAACTCTCCCAACCCTCTCTTAGTGAGTGATTGATCAAACTTGCCAAATCAAATTGCAGGTTGAGTGAAATTCAAAAAGAGAGCAATCCAATCACTTGAGTACTTGTGCATATTGTCTATCTCGTGATTTGCATTTGTTACTCTTGGACTCTTCGGTCCTAGACGGTTAGGCATCGCCGGAGAGCACCCGAGAGATTGTGGTGTGCCTCGGAAAGTTTGTAACCGTCGATTCCGCCGCCTCGGAATCAATTAGTGGAAGGACGAAAAGGAGTTGGAAAAGACTCTGGCTAGAGTGACCTTCGTGGTACCCTCTAGGGATGACCTTCGCTGGGTCGTCCGCAGCCCCCTCAACGGAGAGTAGGACTCGAACGAGTCTGAACTTTGGTAAAACAAATATCGTGTCTCAATTCGCATTTCATTTGATATTTGTGTTGCTCCAGCTCTTGTGCAGGTTCTCTATGTATATTGATATCTCTAGTAGGTACCTGCAATTTGGTTTGAAGATAGAAATTGAAAGGAGCAAGTTCGAGGCTGTTCTGCAGAAACCGTGCATACCAGACACGTTCGGTATTCATACCGGACACGTCCCGTATTAGAGCTCTGTGCTGAAAATATTCATTCGCAGTTCTAACTTTGTGTTGCAGGGTTGTAGCTTCTAGATATATTCTTTTGTACCTTGTATACTAGGTGGCTAACTTGTGAGGGATGGTACTACTCTTTATTTGGAGTTTCAATTTTGGAAACTCCCTTTACTATTCGTTTCCGCATTTAAAGGTGTTAATTTTCAGAAACGCCTATTCACCCCACCTCTAGGCGGCATCATAGGTCCTTTCACCTCGGCGTTCGGATTCTTTGTGGAAGAGTTGCCAGCTAAGCTGAGGACCATAGTTTTTAAGGCGTCGCCTAGGCGACGACTAGTCATCCGGGCGGATTTTCAAGCGCGGTGTTGCTGTCGCCACACCGTCCCGGCATATGGCGTCGCCTTGCGGTCGAAGGCATCACCTAGTCGTCCTTCTCGCTGAGGCGAGCGCCACGCAGAGCGTAAAAACCACAGGAAAGAGCGCGGCGCCAAGGCCGAGCGGGGGAAAAAACGACGTGACGCCTCGCGGAAAGCAAAGCAAGCAGCCACGCCTACACCTCCCGCCAAAGCTCCCAATCCCCATCATGTCTGAGAGAGCGAGAGAGGAGAGGGAAAGGAAGGAGAGAGGAAGAGAGGAGAGGGCGGCGGCGCACCTCAAATTTGGCGATGGCGGCGGTGCAGGCGACTGCCCCGCGTAAGTCCGTCCCAGCCGCGCGAGGCCGCCCGTCCGCGACGACTGCTCCCATTGCTTTGAGGCCACTGATCCTATCCAGCGTGGCTCTGCTCCATTCTTCTGCGACTCACCCTTTACTCTCGAGGGCCGTCTATCCTGTCCGCTGCTTTGCTTTGCTCATTCTTTGCGACTCTGCTTATTTCTTGAGGCCGCCCGTCCCGTCCGCGTGGCTCTGCTCACGCTTCTGCTGCTTCTGCTTGCTTCTTTGAGGCCGCCTGTCCCTCGTCAAGTGGCTCTGCTCCATTCCGGCCTGACTCGCCGAGGCCGCCCGTCCCTGCTTCAAGGCGAGGCCACTCGTCGCTTCTGCTATGCTCTGCTCCGTGACTCTGCTATGCTTAATATGTAAGTTCAGCTTGTGTTTTATATACCTCATCTGCTTAATATGTAGCAAGGAGGCAACTCCGCCTGATGTCAGGCCTTCTGTTTCTGTGAGAACTGAGAACCCTCTTTGCATTTGAGTTGGAACATGGCACACCATTTTCTTGGTATAGCTCCTCATCCTTGGCCCTCCTTTTGCACAGAGTAGAAAAGCGATTCTTCACTGCATTGTCAGCTTTGTTGTAGCCAAACCCAAAAATACATAAGCCATAAACCTTAGTTCACAAATCTCATTTTTATCCTTTTTTCAAATTGCAATAAACAACAATCCAATAAGAAAAACACACCTTCCAGAGACAACTTTTGTAATTTCAGTCCACTTGTTTCCAAGAACTTTTTGAGCCTGCATAACAGTGACAAGCTGATAAGAATATACAGTTGGACAGTTTAGAAGCTTACAGCAAGAACAAACAATTTTGAAGATACAAGTGCAGACTACAGACAAACTAAAGGATTAGAACTGATACCACACAACTGCAATGCATGTCTGAACTTTGCTACATAGTTGGAATGGATAGCTCACAGGCTCATAGATGAAACCATATGTAGAGTTTGCTAGTATTTTTTTATCTGTTGTCTGCTAGTATTTTTTTTGAGACTTGCCATTGCCAACTTGCTAATTTTTTTTTCTAATGCTAGAATGGCAATCATTAGTCCACCTTCTGTCAACAATGAGAACTATGATCCTAAGGTAGACAAAGCAAGAAACGCCAACTCAAATGATCCAGGCTGGAAGTATGGATATTGGGCAAACCTTTAGAAGCCAGATAAGGTGACATGTACTCTTTGCGACACTGAGGTTTCTGGAGGGATAAAAAGGTTGAAGCAGCATCTGGCAGGTGGATATGGAGATGCAAAAATGTGTCCTAAGACCACCACTGCCATTAGGAAGGAGATGAGAGATTACTTGGAATCCAATAAGAGGAGGAGGCCATTGTTCAACGAAGAGGATGATGAGTCACCCGAGAAACCAGCAGATGTGGTGGTGGTAGATGCAAGATGTGACCCAAAGAGCTAGAGTCGAATCTGTTCAAGTCAAGACATGCACCCTGCAGAATCCCAAGCTTCTAAGGTGCAAACCAAGTTCGTGGACTGCAGCTAAACAAAGGCATGCAAATTATTTATTCAAGGCTACTGCAGCAAGCAATACAAAGGCAAAGCCGAAGGTTAACAAGTCAATTGTTGAGATGCTTCGGAAAACACCTGAAGAACTTGTTGATGAAAGGCGTAAAGGATGTTCTCAGCCAACAATTCCAGCCAAGATAAGGACCAAAGAGGAGAAGCACTATGTGGATCAAATGGGCCTTGTGGTTCTATGAGTGTGGTGTGCCATTTAATGCAAAGAAGAAGATGTTTGAGATTGCAGCTTGAGGCAATCTGCACAATTTGGTTCAGGTTACAAGCCTCCTACTCCCTATATGTTAGGTGAACCATTGCTTAAGGATGCTGTGAAATTGACCAGTTCTATGAGGGAGGAACATGAGCAGTGCTCTGGAAGATGTATGGTTGCACACTTATGTCGGACGGTTTGGATAAGAGAGAGGCCGCCATTTGATCAACTTCCTTGTGAACAAACCCTGCAGAGGACTTATTTCTTGAGTCTGTTGATGCATCAAGTGAGGTACATGATGCATTTATGCTTGCTGATTTATTGGAGGCAAAGATTGAGGAGATTGGGGAAGACAAGGTGGTTCAAGTTATCACCGATAATGGGGCTAATTACAAGGCAAATGTAGAATTCTAATGGAAAGGATTTCTCTGTTGTATTGGAGCCCATGTCTTTGCTAATCGCTTGGATCTTATGTTTGGAAGAGATAGGGAACTTGAAGGAATTTAAGAAGCCCATTGCAAGAGCCAAACGTGTCACAACTTTCATCTATAGGCATGGGAGAATTCTTAGTTTGATGAGAGAAAAGACAGGGGCTGATCTTGTGAGACCTGCAGCCACTCGATTTGCCACCTCTTTCCTCACTTTAAAAAGTTTGCACAAGCACAGAGATGCTTTGAAGGCTTTATTTGTTAGTGAAGAATGGTTGGGGAACAAATTGGCAAAAAGCTGCAATGGTCAAGAAGTGCACAACATTGTGCTCTCTATGGAATTTTGGAATTCAGTTGAAGATTGCCTTAGAGCTTCAGCACCTCTGCTTATTGTTCTTAGGGTGGTTGATGGTGATGAGAGGCCTGCAATGCCAGAGGTTGCAGCACTAATGAATCATGCAAAAGAGAAGATCAAGCTCAGCTTTGCTACTGAAAACAAGAAAACCTTACTCAAGAATATCATTAAGATCATTGAGAAGCGTTGGGTCACACAAATGGACCATCCTTTGTATGGGGCTGCACCAGTATTTGAACCGTGAAGACCGCATTCTCTCATACAAGCTAATGATGATGCAAATCATTGGGCGCTTAAGAGGTCATTTTCTTGATGTGCTTGGAAGAATGGTGGAGGATGAAGAAATTAGAAGCAAGATTGATGCTCAATCCTTGGACTATGAAGGCCTTAGAGGAGATGCATTCTCAAACAAAATGGCCAAGCAAAACCTATAGAATTTGAACCCTCAGACGCGTCTTTTTTTTTCTTATAATTTCAAAGCAAGTTTTAGTATGTGCAATTTAATTCCAGCAAGTAGCCAAGTATATTTCATCTCAAAATGCTAATATATGTTTGTATTTGGCAATATAGTTGATTGGTGGCGTTCATATGGTGGTCGTGCTATTGAGCTTCAAAGGTTTGCTAGATGCATTGTTAGTCTTTGTGCTTCATCCTCTGGTTGTGAGAGAAACTGGAGTATATTTGAGTTTGTGAGTATTGCCAACTTCACTAGTCACTGTTTTCTTCTAATTGATTTGTGCTCAGCTAGCCAATTAATGACACATTTATTTGTTGTTTTCCCATTCTTCTTTTGTAGATGCATACAAAGAAAAGAAATAGGTTGTTGCATAAGCGATTAAATGACATTGTGTTTGTTTCCTACAACCGGAAGATGAAGACCAGGTTTCAGTTAAGGCGTGAGAAAAAAGGGAAAAATTTTAATCCTTTGGTCATTGAGGAGTTTGATTGGGACAATGAGTGGGCTGACTCCTCCTATGTTCATCCTCAAGGTGCCCGTGGATGTGACAATGGTGACAATGGTAATGGCCTTACATGGGAACTTGTGGATGAAGCTGTTGGTGCATCAAGCTCGCTGTGAGGCCGCAATCTTCCAAGGAATGCCAGCAGCAAGCGTGCAAGAAATGGACAGTCAAGGTTGGCTGAACTTGAAGAAGACTTAGGTTTGGCCAATGAAGAAGAGGAAGAGGAAGATCCACATGACGATGCTGATGTGAGTGATTGTGAGCAGGATCCCAATGGCTCCAACGGTGGCGGCGAAAACATGGAGGGTCCAAACATCCTTGATGAGTTTGATGATGGATATTGAATGTTGAGAGTTGGCTGCTAGCAGCATATGGCTAGCAGATTTCAGATCTGCACTAGTTATATTTGTGAACTGCTTGTAATGTGGCTAACTATGCCACTAAGACTCTTATCTATATTTCTGGAATGTTTGTAATGTGGCTACTGATGTAATGATGACATATTGATATTTGCTTGTGTCTTTTGTTGCTAAATTTCCTTGCTGTTGCTAAATTCCTTATTGTATATGCAGCTTGCTGTTTGGGAGAAGAAAAGAGAGTTCAGAACTTCAGATCATCAAAAGGTATTTCACTATCCATATTTAATCTGATTACAAAGTATTTATGTTACATAATTATATTAATGAGTCACACATGTTGAAACTTGTTAGGGGTTGTATGGCACATGGAAGAAGGCAACTGGAAACAGGAGGATCACTGCTACATGAGCTCCAGAATTGGCAGCAAAAAGGTATGTATAAGTGTATGTTTGTGCTGTCCTATGGAAGGTTAGAGTATGTGTATGGCGTCGCCTTGCCCAGCGCCTAACTCGCCTAGGCGTCTAGAAGGGGGTCGATCGCCGCACCTCGCCTTACCGCCTTAAAAACTATGCTGAGGACTTACTTGGTGGTCAGATTTTGCTACATCTCATCGGTGTGCTATCAAGTTGCTCCATGTTGTTCGGATCAAGGTGCTGATCTTGGGCAGCACGTCTAGGCCCATGATAAGTACATGGCAGATGATGTTGGTAAGCTTTGATTAAAATTCTTTGACCCTGCTACAAGATTTATTTTTTCATCTTCTAGCAGGCTCGGGGACTACAACGTGTACACTACATCTTGCGGTGCATGTCCTAATTTTTTTTGTTAATGGTTTTTAGCTAAGCTAGGGACTGGCTATGATCGGCTAGCATATGGAGTCTTCTCTTTTTTTGACCTTGGCACTACGTGAATTATTCACCTACCACAATGATCGGGGACTAGGTGGCTACACTTCACTGGCGGTGAATATAGTGCTTTTTTCCTGATTTATCCTTCTTATTGACTAAGTCATGGATGATAATCATCCGGCCTCGTAAATAGAGTCTAAGTGGCTACACTTCTCTTGAGGGGAAGAATTTTTAAAATTAATCTTAAGCCCCATACATTCTTTTGACAAGTCTAACTTGGCTAGATCCAAGATTTGTTAACCGGTTGAACTGGTCGGCATTCATTTTCATTCATCTTATAACCATTTCGAGGGATGACCGAGCAAGCTGTTGTGGCCGATATTTCTTTCTAACCTATCATTTCGAGGTTCCATGCATCTGAATCGGAGACACCGTTTACCTATTCTTGTACACTTGCCGTTGGCATCAAAGTACATGCTGTCATGTCTATACGGCCACATACATGCGTATGTATAGGGCTAAGAGTATCTCTAAGATCCTTTTTAAATCTCTCTCTCAAAATTATTATTTGGAGAGTTATTTGCATAAAAATCGTTTTGTATATCTTTAGACTCTCTAAAAGTTTTTCTATATATTATGCACGCTCTAGAGAGTTATTCTCGTCTTCTATTTCACTACTACAGGAATGGTTTCTAGGGGCGGCTGGTGAGTCTTTGTAGAGGCGGCTCGGCCAGCCGCTCCTACCATACCGTCTCTATAAATCATGCATTTGTAGGGACGGTTCCCAGACCGTCCTTACAAATCGATTTATAGAGGTGGCTGGTGTTATCAGTCGTCTCTAAAAATTGATTTCTAGGGGGTGCCTCTACAAAATCGATTTATAGGGGCAGCTGTAGTACCATCCGCCCCTTTAATACTTGTTTGTAAGGGCGGTTCAATCTAGAACCGCCCCTACAGTATATTTTTTTGTCAAAAAAATTCAAATTTACAATTCAAATTCGACTAGAACATATATATATATATATATATATATATATATATATATACATATATAATTCAAATCTGACCAGAACATATATAATTCAAATATGACCACAAGCATAAGAGCGTTATATAAACTACCATTATAAGTCCAATTCACAAGAATATATACAATCCATCATTAAATAGACATAATTCACAAGTCTAATTCATTCCACAAGTCCAAACCGTTCCACAAGGTAAGACCAATGTCAAATTTCATACACATTGTTGTCAACGGCCTAGAGCTAACCTTTCAGTCTCACGAAGGTGTTGGTACTGAGGATTTCTACCTAAGTTAGAATCTCGGTCATGGTAGGTGCCTTTGACGTATACAATCTGGTACAATATGAAGTTGCAAAGGTCGTCGACGAGCTCTAAGATTTGGTCAACCTTGTATGGGTCTCTTTTCATTTATTTCTCTTCTTTCCACTACAAGAGAATAAGTTTCGGTTTAGTATTTCATATCATGTGTGAAGTTTTTATACTACAGGTGAAGAGGTTCAAACTTACCCTTAAAGGGTGTCTCCTATAGGCACCCGTGTTACTCATTATAAAACATACATAGTATCCACAATGTACACTCCCAGGCTTCTGCTTGGGGCACTGTGTTTTGCATATGGAAATGTTAAGTAATGCTTTTAACAGACATGTAATGGAGTACTAAAGTAAGTTACACTTACCACACATAGTATTTTTATAGCCAGCCTTTCCTTCCTTACTGGATCATGCCTTCCGTGATGTTCATTGACATAGAACCTGAATGTCTTGTTCGAATTATTTTAGCAAATACAACTTATTAGTATTCAAAAGTGAACGTTATAAGTATGTATACAAACATATAAACTAATGAGGATTGTTGATATGTATACGTCTTGAGAATCGATATGAAGTCTTTGTATGTCACCGGGTCCCTATCTATTGAATCAAAGACCCATGCCATGCTCCTCTCGACATCAACACCTATACAAATCAAGTGGTTGTTGCATGAATTTAATCATAGAATTAGATAAGCTATTTTGCATCGAATAAAATATATCGAACACAGCTTTAAGTATAGATTTGAACTTACTCGAAGTTGTATGGTAGCCATATAGTAGAGTGTTGTTGAAGATTTTTAAAAACCAGGGCAATATATGCCGAAACTTTAAGGGACTCTTGCCTTAGTTTCTTCGCACGGATGTCCTCTTTCTCCCAAGGGGTCTTTCCAGCAGCTAGCTCTTTGGCATCCAGTTTCCACTGTCTAGGGTAATTAAAATGTGTTTGTGCTATAGCTTGAGAGTCTATATACCTGGCTTTCACACTTGGCATTTGTTTTATAATGTGCACTTGCTTTCTACAAATCACGGCGTAGGTTAGTTACAACAAAATCCAAAGATTACATTCATATCATATCAGGAGGACAAGGACTTACAGGCACCACGTGCGAATTAGATTCATTTCCATTGCTCCGAGGTGAAAGCATGTCTACATGTCATTGAAGTCAAAGATAATTTTCTTGGCTGGGCTTCCAAATGTGTCGGTGAGGAAGCATGCTTGTACGAGGTCTATGCTCGTTAGGAGAACATGCTTGTACGAGGTTGTGGAACAGAGGCCTCAATGTCCGTCTCTATGGCTGTTGTCTCTGCTCTCCTTTTCTCTACTCCATCTTGTCCGACGAGATGTCGTGGACATCGACGTTGTCTTTGCTGAGTTTCAGGAGGGACCTGTATATACGACAGGTCAAAGTGTTAGCAGAGGTAACACAGCCAAAGCTTTAGCAAAATTTACAAGCTAAGGCTTTATCCCTACCTCTTCGTTTAGGTCAAAATACTTGTCTAAATCTTCCTCCGTTGGCTTCCTTCTGGCTTTACCTGGGAAAGGATCCTCGGGACTTACATATCCCTCTTCTGAGTCCTTAACATCATCATCCTCTTCTTATTTGCCTTCAGTAGCCTCTCCTGCTCTTCCTTCTGCTCCCCCTTTCTCCTCGTCACATTGCTCCTAAGTAAGCATCACTTCTAGATTCTTTTCTAACTCGTTATCGAACTGCTCTTTAGTAAGCTGGTCCTCTAGTGCTTGCTCCTCATAGGTTGGCTACTCATCATGCTTGGGGCATCGGGCTGCACTGTCTGGTGTCCATGATATTATTTTGCGCTTTGTTCTAATAGATGCAAAAAAGTATGTTTTAGGTACGTGAGAATGTATAAGAAATTAAAAAGGTCTATAAACCAAAGTAGTCCTATAAAACAACAATATATAAAAAAAACGAGTAGTAGCAGTAGTAGAGGCCTCAGAAACATGTTAATCATCATTTGATCATGAACTTGGAGTATCAAGGCATCATAACAGAGAAGAGATGAGAAGGTAATGTAGGGGCGACTGATAATGATATCAAGTTCCTCACAAGTTCTTGATCATCAGCTCATATTCTATATAATGTATGGACTTGGACAATTTCATCATCGGCAAAACAAAGGAGAGGAGAGGAGATGGGAGATTTGGTAAAAAAAAAGCAGCAGCTGCTTAGCAAACATAGAGCAGCAGCTGATGGCAAAAATAGCCAAAAAACAGCAGCATTGGTCTCATTATTAGCAGAAAATCGATAAACTAGTGACCATATATATTACTGACCATATAACAGACTGCTACCACATGGTTGGTAGACCCCTGCAGATCCACCAAGCAACAGCTGCTTAACATCATTGCATATGCCACTGCCTCAGCACAAAAAGTTTCACATCCTTGCATATGCCACTGCCTCAGCATATTTTTTTCTAGTTGCACGTATGCAGACAGGTTTTTTTAGGTGGCAAATTGTACGCATCGTGTTGGGGTCCAGAGAAAACTAAAATTCAAGTGAGTACCAAATGAATTATCAAAAACTGCAGCCAGATGAATGGTCACTGCCACCAAACTGCAAGTTATGTAGTCTCAACTGGCCAATAGGAGGTGCCAATGGAAAGCCTGAAATTTGAACCAAGCAACTTCAAGTAATAACATTAACATCTATGTAATCTTTAGATTCGCCACATCAAACTAATAAAAGTCTATTTCATAGTCGTTATTTTACAACTTGAATACATGATTGGATTGTATAAACCAACACTCAGACATAAAATCATGAAGACTCCAAAAAGTAAAAAAGCAACACTTTAGTCTGACAGAAGGTAGTAAACATCACGTATGTCAGTTAATGAGCCAAACAAGCATTAAACAACACCTTATACTAATACAGACTTCAAACCCTTGAAGTAGATGTACATAGAGTTCAAGTAACTCAGGAAACTGACAAATGCAAAAAGCAAGGAGACACTAACTAGTAATATTTTGAACAGATGTGCCAACTAGCATGTCCTACCCTGACTCTGAGTGTTGATCTACTGTGCATTACAACTATGAGCTGTATGATTTCTGACATTTTTTTCATTCTTTTTTACTATAGCGGTATAGCCAATTTGGCACTAACCTGAAACGCCCTTAAAAAATCAGGACAAGCTTGGGGAATCTTGGGCGCTAAATACTATGAACTTATGACATTATAGATGCAGCAACGATGAT